GGATCTAATTATGACAGCCACCTGGCCGCCAAGAAGAAGTATGATCCAGATAACCTCTTTTACTGTGCGACCTGTGTCGGCGCGGAGCAGATGGTGGAGAGAGTCGACGGGCCACTGTGTTATGCCTAGTAGAATTAATAAAGGCGCGTCCAGGAAGGAGATGATGAGGGTCTGGATGAGACTTCTACATACATTATTCAATTCGGTTAGCAATAACCTACGCCAGGAGGCAAAATTCATTAATAATTTGAGTCATTCCAATGGAGCTAAACCTGCTATTAAACACAAGCGTCCTTGAACTATTCCCAATGCCTTGTTGATTCTAAACTTCCACCGCTAAATCCGATTTAAAGAGTGTACAGCTGTCTGAGCCTATCACAATGGCATTTGGGCAACTGATCTATAATCTTTCAAAACCTTGGAATCAAGGACAGGTTTACTTCGGTCGGCCTGAACACTCATAATTCCCATGACAAGAGCTCACGAGTTGCAGGTACAACTGTTGATGCTTAGCCGGTGTCCGGGACCGACAAGACTCCTGAGCCCGACGGCTACGCATTCCTTGACTACTTTCAATAGCCAGCTTAGATTTGTTTTTATTATGTCTCTAAGGCCAGAAACTCCTTTTATTAGACAAGACTGGAGCGATCAGAAATAACGGATGGATCTCATAAGCAAAAGCCATAGGGCAAGAATATCTGAGGCAAGAGGAGCGAAAGTCGAACTCCAAGTGGGCCACTAGCATGGGCCAACTGCTTGAGCTGCATCATTTGGGGGGTGCTTTAGAGAAGCAGCAAGAAGAGATGAATAGGAAGAATACCGCTTCTCGGATGGGCCAGCATATGGGCATTCCATCAGTTGCGCACCATCACTATCCCGACCAGCGTACTATGAAAATACCCTGCTTGCCAAAAGACGGGAAAACTAGGACTGCAAACTCGCTTGAAACATCAGACGAAAGGACCTATCACACCAAGTTCCTACTAGAGCGCCAATCACCCATCACAGACTTGCGAGAAACTTAGAGCAGTCTTCCTCACCCCTGATACCTGCCACGAAGCTGACGACTGGAGACCGTCTACTCCCCACTGACGGAGCTGACATGTTTCTGAAGTTAATGACATCCTAGATCACACAAGGATTGTTCCACGAAGAAGAGAGCACCGTGACTAAATTTCACAGAACGTGTTAGACGATTCTATGGTCTTTGAGAAGAAGGGAAGAGACCCCCAGGAAACGCAGTGTGGTCTAGATTTAACTTTAGACAAAGAGTGCCGTAGATGAAAGGATAAAGACAGTCGAGCGAGACTTCGCCGATCAACAAACGATCTTCGTCTAGGAGCTACATATTGGAGAGGGACGCGGCTGTGTGAGAGAAAGGATGGTCAATGGGCGGCTTGTCACTTTTTTCCTCGACAGGACCACGAAAGAGATCAAGGACACACCTCTTGGAGAGCGCGTTTGAATTCAAGATAGCAACGCCATTCCTGAATGGAGATTGAAAGCAGCCAGCACATGAGATTGAGTATTAACAAGTTCTAGTTCAACGAGAAGTTGGTACTTAAGGGACCCAAGACTTGAACCCGTGGATAGTGTATTCATGCTGAATGCCCTTTTGATTGTTTCGGAGATAGTATCCTTGGTAGCTTGCAAGAGATCCGCTTCATGGATGTTATTGCTAATTTGGTACTCATTATCGGCCACCAACTTTGACCTTACTGCTTTCCCAGCGGAAGTTTCGGTGAACTGGAGTAATTCATCTATCGTATAAACAGAGAAGAATGGGACATAAGCAGTCTTGCCTGGGGAAGCCCCCCAGTGGCTAAATCAAGTGGCACGATCTCAATGCTACATGTCTATGACAAAGTGCTCCTGTCAAACGAGTCTTCCTTATTTTGGTAGATCGAGGTGGACCGTCTCGGTTGTAAAACTTGGGAAGAAGCTAAGGAAGTCGGGAGTTGGACGAGGCCCGGTCGATGGGATCAGCTGCACGTTCACCGCCAAGCGACTGAGACAAAACATAGCGCTTCAAAACTCCCACCATAAAAGTAAGAAACCTGATTTTTAGTGATAACACTGAATATAATAGTTATAAAGCAGCAAGCTTCCTCTATTATGATATTTGGCTTAATATTGTGCTAATTGTTTCTATATCGTGTAAACATTCAACGTTGGCGATTTTGGTGTGTGCCTGTTCCATATCCTTAACTGCTAACTGACCCCCGTACATTGGTTAGGTGTTAGGTGCTTACGAGGCACGTCCTCCCAGGAGAGCATTGGCAATGTGTCGCAAAAATTCGAGCCGTTACTCTAGCACCTCGCAAATGAGCAACCCGTTGTAAGTGTGACCCGCTCATATAACAGCATCCCGGCTCATCCTCTAGCGTGTTCCTCCGTCAGACTGCCGCGCGCGGCGTTCGGATTAACTAACCAGCCCCTGTTGCAGTCATCCTATGTAAAACATTTTTGCCCGAAGAGGAAGAATAGCTAACTGCCCCCTCTCTCGAGAAGGGGGCAACCACAGACGGGCCCGCCGGAGAGTCAGCTTATCGCCAGGGGCAGATTTTTGCCAGCTCCTTATAACTGCCGACCCAGACCTCCATTCGCTTGAGATTTGCCCAAGCTCTCATCTGAAGTGCCGTGTCCCTTATTGACGTGAAGCGGCTCAACATGTTTGCCCGGATCGTGCTGATTGGCGCGGTTCTGATCGCCTCCCTCGCGTACTTCCTGTCGAGCGGAGAGGCCACTCCACGCGCCCCCTACATCCAGGGCAGGAACAAGACGGTTCTGTTCCTGGCCAACAAGGAGCACGGCCTCTCCAATGTGCACCTGTCGACAACCTACGCCCTTCTAGAGGGCTTTCCGGACATCGAGGTGCACTATGCCACTTTCCCTGGAGTTCGCAGCAAGGTGGACAAGTTGTCCTCGTTTGCCAGGGCCAAGACGCCGGCGGCTCGCGACGTTGTCAACCATGACCTGAAGGGCGCCTCTCTGGCCGAGGCATGCGAGATGGAGAAGGAGCTCAGATACCCGGGCATCGACTTCCAGGATACCATGATGGGTCCGCCTGCCGCAGCTGGAATTGCCAACCTGGCCAAGGATATCCAATGGTGGATCTCACCGTGGTCTGCTGACGACCACATGATTCTATATGATGAGATATCGAACCTTATTGACGAGGTTGACCCGGCCGTCGTCGTGCTCGACACGCTCTTTAGGCCGGCCATCGACGCTACAAGAGACAAGAACCGTCTGCACGCGATTGTCACCCCAAACCTCCTGACGGACAACTTCCTCGGGGACCAGCCGCACGGGAACATGTTTTGGAAGTACCCAGCGTAAGTTTCCGTGACATCAAACAAGATACAAAAAGAAAACCTAACATTCGCGTGTGGCAGATTGGGATCCGGGTTCAAGTTCCCTGTGCCATGGCACAAGATCCCTGAAAACATCTATCTGAACATTCGAATGATCAACGCTCTCCTGCTGACACCCGGACTTTCCGCCAAGAAGGCTGTCCTGCGAGAAAGGGGTGTCAAAGAGCCGATCAATCTCTTGGGCCTCCACCGAACCGACGTGCCGTGGATCACGATGAATACCGAGGGCGCATCCGTCCCCGTCGATTACGTCCCTGCCAATGTGACCAGCGTAGGCCCCATCCTGATGGATTCTGCGCCTGCCGCTGAGCAGGACCCGGAGCTTGCACAATGGCTCAAGAGGGCCCCGACGATTATTTTCAATCCAGGTAGCCACTTCCTCGTAAGTATAGGCCCTGTATCATGAGCAGTTGAGAGCAATAAGAGATGGGGAGTGTCTGACGTGCTTTTTTTTAGGTCTCAGAGCCACGAGCCAGAGCCGTTGCGGCCGCCCTCGCAAAGGTCATGGCTGAAAGCAACGTCCAGATTTTGTGGAAGCTGAAGAAGCAGAGCGAATATTCAGACGAAACCTTGGAGCCTCTGCAGCCTTACCTCGCAGCAGACCGGATCAGGGTATCCAAGTGGCTGTCGGCAGATATATATTCCTTACTTCAAACCGGCGATGTCATCGCGTCCGTCCACCATGGAGGATCCAACTGCTACCATGAAGCAATTGCGTAAGTTGCCCTCTGCTCTCCGAAATCTTGGTTTAGTTGCTAATCATCGCCCTTAGTTCTGGTGTTGCCCAGGTTGTCCTGCCAATGTGGATTGACCTGTACAACTTCGCTGCTCTGGCTGAGAACATGGGTGTTGGAGTTTGGGGCTGCAGGGAGACGAGTCCTGACTGGACGGCCGACTGTCTAAGCAGCTCTCTGCTCAGGGTCATTGCTGACAATGACGAGGGCGCGAAGATGCGTGAGAAAGCGAAGCAGCTGGGAGAGAAGGTGAGGTCTCGTGAGAAGGGCCGTGATCTCTCCGCGCGCGAGATTGCAAAACTGGCATATGTGAAATAGAGTGTTGATAAACGAGGTCGCGTTGCAGAAGGTGATTTGGCACAAGAAAGGCAAAACTAAGGCGCACCGTGTTACTGATACTAGAACTAGAAGATAACTTTGCATAGAATGATTTACCACAGCAACCGCCTTTCAAAGTGACGAAGATTAGTTCCCATCACTGATAACAAATGATGAGGAGCTAGATTGGCAGATATTGCCCAATTGTAGTACATTTGGACCATCTGTGCTGTGGTGCGCATATTCAGATGCATAACTTCACGAACCTGCAATTTCTCCTTTGAAATCAGCAGCCACCATTGAGATTCGGTCGTGATATAAAAACGTGGGCTCAACCCAACACAACAAGAAAATAGCAGAGATGATGGCCAAACCGGACATCAACAACGCAATTCACACAAACCAGAAGTCCGTCATGCTTCCCCGATGGTCGCATTAACCTATCAAGAGACTAGAAGATATGGTTCGTCTCTCCACATGATGCGCTGCACACCTTCCGCACCGTTATCCGGAAACATCGAAGCAATCAGCCAATCGAGTTTGGATGCAGAAGACGACAGGTTTAGCGAAGTCAATTCCTGTCTACAGTTGGATGCAGCTTATGCTGCCGTATTGGAAGTAGGCAGATGAAGTTCAAGATTGCCATGCCGAGCAAAATAAACCACACAGCCCGGAACGCTTCCATGAACGAAGCCAAGGTGCCTTCGTACCAGCCTCTTGGTAGCCGTTTCAATTCATTGAGATCATTCATGATCAGATCAATTACCCGTCTCGCGTTTGATTCATTGCCAAACCTCTCCGAGAGCCCCCGTCTTAAGGTATTCTGATATGCAGCAGACGCGATGGCCAAACCAAGGGTGCTCCCGATGCTTCGAGCCATGACTAGGGGGCGCTGTTAGCATTGGATTCCCACCATACAGGCAGATGCTTAGCCAGGAGTCACTTACAAACCGCAGATGTCACGGCTGCTTGCTGGGAGTGGTCCACGGCCGCGACGGACGCAACCTGAGTGGTCGTCACCGTTGCGTTGTAGCCCCCTCCGACGAAGAACAGCGCAAGACATGTTAGCCAGGCGGGGCTGTTGGAACTCTGGAGGCTGAACAGGCTGACCCCGAACGTAAATGCTAGAATGCTGGTATATGCAAGCCCAATATACTTGCCTGTTCTCGTCATGAGGAAACCGGCACCAAATGACCCTATCGGAACAGCAAGGGAAGAAGAAAGAAGCTTCACGCCGGCAGTGGTAGCGGAGTCACCCAATACCTGCAGGTACAATGGAACGTAGAACAAGGATGTCATGAATATCATGACCGTTAGCAGGCTCGTCAGGCAGCTAGCGAGCACTGTTGGATCAAGAAGTAACCTGACCGGGATAATCGGTTGCGGAGTTCTTGCCTCCCAAAAGAAAAATCCAATGAGCAAGACAACAGCCAGTGGGATCGTCGTTAACGTCACGGGGTGTGTCCATGGGAACACAGTCCCGGCGTTGCTAAATCCGTATAGCAACAGCACGAGGGAAGAGCATGTCAACAGCACGCCGAAAAAGTCGATGCGTGCCATCCTGGACTTTTTGGACTCTTTTGGTGGAACCTTGATCATGAGAAGGACGGCGACAGCTGACAGCAACCCAGGCGGCACTTGTATGAGGAATGCGAGCCTCCATCCCAGCTTCGTATAGTCGTTCAGAAGGCCGCCAATGAGACCGCCAAGCACCAGGCCTGCACCGAACCATAGGTTGCCAATCGCGGAGACCATGCCTCTCTGGCGGAGAGGGAATAGATCAGAGATCAAGAAGATAGCGATGGTAACGAGGCCGCCTCCGCCGAGACCTGCCACAACGCGCCCGAGGATCATGACATATTGGTTCGGCGCAAGCCCGCACATGAGGTTACCCAACGCAAAGAAGGCGTGGCTAACGGCTATACCCGGGCCTCGCCCGAAGATATCCGTAATCCGACCAGACAGCGGCTGACAGGCGGCGTTGGCGATTAGATATGCTGTTGCAAGCCATGAGAGCTGATTTAGGGATCCGAATTCACTAGCAATGGGACCAGAGAGTGTGGCGATGATGGTGGAATCCACGGATCCGAGGAAGATGCCGAACCACGCCAGACACATAATGGCGGCCTTCTTCGCAAACGGAAGATCGACCTGAATAACAGTTCTTTCATCGTCATCATTGCCGACTGTGCCACTTGCGGAGTGCTCCTCATTCTGAGCCCAAGAGCTCAGCAAGGGAGTCGAGGCTGTTGCGCTGGGTGTCATATTTTGAATCGATATTAGAGCAAAGAGTCTTTTAGGAGAAATCAATCCGTTCGACTTTCCTGGGTGATGGAAAGAAATGGATCTATAAATTATTATAAAAATGCACATGAAAGTGATATCTGTATAATCAGGGTTGAGAACATGAACCAAGGAGACCCCTATCCCGACATCGGAAGTACAGAATCATGCAAAGGACCGAGACATCAATATTTGCCTTGATGAGCTGAGCTGTGCTACGTAGCTACTGCGGCGGCACTTGATGTATGTCTCGGGTGAACATCCAATCCAACCTCTTATGTTTGCGCTAGCTTCCTGCAGTGATGCTGGTCGAAGATCAAAAAGGTATGCATGTCCCCAGCCTTGACGGTCGATCTTTCCATGTTGCCCCTTTTCACCATCTCCGGCCGGGCATGGATAGATACATGTAATTCTGGAGCTACGATAGTGAAAGCTCATTTCTATCTTCAACAGTTTTCTGGCGGATAGCCTGTGATTCTCGCCATCTACGGTCGTGCCTTGTTTAAGAAGTGGCCATCAAGTAGGGCCCTGGTTTCGCTTGGTAGATTGAAGGTGTTGTGAAATGCTCAATTCTTGTCGCTTTACTAATTATCGTGATGGCATATCACATTGACAATAATTACTCTCATAACTAATAGAAAGCAAAATTTTTCTGAAATCATCATCTTATCCTCTCTCTCTCTCTCTCTCTCTGATATTCTACCATGTATTGAAACGAGCCCGGTGGCCTCGGTGCGCTGTTTGTTATGGGAGGGATGCACAGATCATTGTCACACTTGAAAATGCCACCAACTACGGGATCAAAGCAGAATCGGTCCGAATTCTTGACAGATCACGTAATGTTCTATTTGGCCTGACCAATCACTTACCGTTGGTATTTAACAATTACCTGCAGCGAAGGAGTTGATCGCGGTCGTCCGGAAGTTCCAACAGAGTGGCGGATCCTCGGTTGCTCATGGAGAAGAAATGACTCGGGACCCATAGATAACTGGCATTGAAGTAGGGGGATCCCAGTCGCAATGATTCATTGCTCGCTAGCTCCGTTAGATTGATGGATATAGAACGTGCGAGGGCAATGCCGGGCTCGAGACTCCTGGCCACTCCGGTCTTGAGGGATTATTGTGCACATTACAATTTGGCAGTCATTCATCGGTCACCTGTCCCTACGATAGGGCTGCAAGAAGAGCCTGATTTGAAGAAAACACGCTGGAACCACAGTGCCATTGTAGACTTGGATGATGAGGCGATTGAGATGCAATAAAGTGCATTTCAGTTCATGCTGAGAGAGATTTTGAAGTGATGGATTTAATATCATTGCTGAGGAGTCAAGTGACCAATGCTAACAGATTTGTTTTGTTTGCATTTATGGTTTTGAATTGCTACGAGAGGATTCGTGGAGTGAGTGGGGATGAAACGGTATGGTGCCATCGCTCAATCAGCCAGGACTCAGGCCAATGGGCGCTTCATGATCTGAGATGACCCTGATCTATTTATGTCTGCTCTGCAAATATAAAGAGATATAGACTTTCTTTCTTCTTCGAAGATCTCAAGAGACTCACCGAATAGCGCCGATGTAGAGGCAAGAGGACAGCTACATGATGGTAGAAAGCTTGCATTGACAAAGCACAATCACCCAGTAACAAAAACGCGTGATCAGGCCTGAGATATCTCAATGGGAGTAAATTGCTCGTAGATATGGTTTCTCACCACAAGGGTCTGGACGATAACCCACTTATAACACCACCAACCCCAGTTATCCCACCTGGCACATGGTCGAGGAATTCGCCTGCGAGTTGTCTGTAACATGCAATGCAAGTTAAAATATGAGCTTCTCCCCATTTCTGTTTCAGGGCCACAGCTATAGTATGCATCGCTTGCATCCAGGTTGCCAAGATGTGGGAGTGCCACGACACTGAGATGCTTCCCCCCTGCAATTAGGAACCAACTGCTCGCTTGAGCAAGATCCGACGTTATTATGTCATATGATCTGATGAAACAACGTGTGGCACCACCTGCCGTTGATAGCGTGACGGCCAAAGAACTTAGTATAAATGGGTCTATAGCCAGCTCTCGCGTCACCGCTTCACATACCAACCATCATACCTAACTCATCATTAGCAAGTACCGAATCTCAATTGAACGATGAGCAGCCTCGTGAGAACCGGTATGCTCCGGGCAGTGCGCCCAGCCGCACGCAGCGCGACATTCGTGGCACGTCCAGTAGTAGCAGCGGCCCTCACCAGCCGTCGAAACTTCACATCAAGCCAGCGATGCCTCTGTTCAGGCTGCACGGGCTCGTCGGGTCACAAATGCTCCCGCCATACCGCCAGAGCCGCCGCCAACCTCACATCCAGTGCCAACATCAATGCCAAGAGCATAGGCAAGGCTGCGCCATACGCCACCACAAGCGGCCCTGACATCCCGACCGAGCAATGGGCACAAGTGCTGGAGGAGACGGGTGGCCGTAAGTACCCATTGAAAGCTCACTCTCAATAGCCAGCGCTGACCCTTACCTATGAACAGGCGTGGTCTACAAGAAGATCCCTGTTCCCACACCCGCTTCAGACGAGGTGCTCATCAACATCAAGTTCTCCGGTGTCTGCCATACCGACTTGCACGCCGTCAATGGCGACTGGCCGCTGGCTTCCAAGATCCCTCTTGTCGGAGGACACGAGGGCGCAGGTGTCGTAGTTGCGCGGGGCGAACTGGTCCAGGATGTTCAGATTGGCGATTACGCCGGCATCAAGTGGCTGCACGGCTCGTGCATGAGCTGTGAGCAGTGCCGCCAGTCCAATGAATCTCTCTGTTCCGAAGCCTCGCTATCAGGCTACACTGTCGACGGATCATTCCAACAATACGCCGTAGCCAAGGCTGCCCACGTGGCACGAATCCCGAAGGACTGCGACCTCGCGGAAGTGGCACCCATTCTCTGCGCCGGACTGACCGTCTACAAGGCGCTCAAATCGTCCAATGTCCGACCTGGACAGACTGTCGCTATTGCCGGAGCTGGCGGTGGTCTCGGAGTCTTCGCCATTCAATACGCCAAGGCCATGGGCCTGCACGTCATTGCCATTGACGGGGGTGAAGAGAAGCGCAAGGTCTGCCTGGAGCTGGGCGCTGACGCCTTTGTTGACTTCAAGACAACGCAGAATTCCGTTGCTGATATCCGCGATGCCTCGGGTGGACTAGGCCCTGACGCTGTGCTGCTTCTGGCCGCCAGCGAGAAGCCCTTCCAAGAAGCAAGCCAGTATGTCAAGAGCAAGGGCTCCATTGTGTGTGTCGGCCTGCCAGCCGATGCATTTGTCAAAGCGCCCGTCTTCGACACCGTCGTTCGGTATGAACTTCCTCTTGTAGCTTTAAGTTTGTAAATGAGCAATAACTAACAAATCTTACAGGGAAATCAGCATCAAGGGAAGCTACGTCGGTAACCGACAAGATACTGCGGAAGCCATTGAATTCTTCAGACGAGGGCTCATCAAGGCACCAATCGAGTGAGTTTCACACTATCCAATTTCAAGATATAACTAAGCTAATTCTTCATTCTAGGATCGTTGGCTTGTCAGAACTCCAGAAGGTGTATGACTTGATGCAGAAAGGAGCAGTTACCGGTCGCTATGTTGTTGACACAAGCCGGTAGCAGCTTATATTTCATTTACAAAGAAATAATGATCTGGCGCTGGGGTGGTTGTTGAATATGGAGACTTGTTCAACACGTGTGTCTAATTTCTCGCTGAGCAATGATGACATGTTATTCAAAAGTATATAGTTCAATGAAACGTGTTCATATGCTTGATCAAATGGGCGCATCTCACAACCAGCCTCAGTGATTTTTGTGGAAAGGCTCTGGTCTTAATTACTGTGCCCACCCACTCCTAATTCCCCAATGACAAACTCATATTCGTAAGTGGAGGAAGGGTGCAGATGTAAGCATTATCTGAGCTCACGACAAAACCGGTGATGCAGCATGACTCATGCTTCTTGTAGAATGGCCAGTCAGATGATGTAAATGCAATAACGATGTTTCAGGCCTGTACCGGTGCTCAACTCATGATAGCGATACAATGGTTCTGAACAGGAGCCCTGGAATAGCTCAAGGTATGGTCTCTGTAAGGCATGCTTTATAAGTTATTTAAAATAACTTAGAAAGACATTGAGAAATGTAGTTCGCAAATACGAGGCCGGATGAAAGTTTGGATTCGATCAGTACTGAACGGTACAGGTACAAGAGATCTCTGCCGCGAGCGAAGTCGGGGCAAACCTTCCGATCGGCTTATTACTGTTACAGATGGGAAACATGCCGTGTCACATCAAAGTCCTGCTGTAATACCCAGTAGGCTGCATAGGCTCTATGCTTACCTTTTCAGCCAGGTGTCTAACCTCGTAGTTGCTGAACAAGATGGATACTCGCAATCTCAGCCAGTCGCGGGCACCATCCGAGTTCTAGATGCATAAATGCACCGATGGCTATGCTGAGGCCTGCATTATATTGAAGCAGCCACAAATCTTATTCCTTACGCTCAGCTCGTTATTTGTCCACGTTTGTGCAAGATTGACACCTGGTGAGACAAAACACGGCCCAAAAACGCCCAGCTGAGCCACCAGGTTCCGTTCCGCCTCGTATTCATGCATACTAAAAGCGCCAAGGAGAAATTTCACCGCGAAACTAGCGACGGGCGGCGTATAGGATCTCTGAAGCTGAAATGCATCTTTCAGCTTACGCATCGGTAGTATGCAGGTGGCCTTAGGTGCATGAAGCTCCGTAGGGGTTCAGGTGCAATTCTACAACTACGGTGAACGGTCCCTAAACCAACGGTATCATTTGGCTTCAATTTTGAACACTGTTGCTAGACCTCATCACTATCATCAATCACCTGAAGATGTACGGTGTAGCTGCACCTCATGACTTCAAATTTGCTCAGAAACCATCCAATTTCAAGCATGCTACCTCTTTGCACAAACTCCAACAGGGCGCCCCCAAAATTGGCAAGAATAGCCAATACAACAATAAACAGGCTGAGTGCCGGGGGGGATCGCGCCTCCACAGATGCCTACAGAAATGCCTAGTTAGCACCGCAGATCCCTACTGAGACTATAACAGCCGTGGCAAAGAAATATACACACCGGCTTTCGAGCAGTCTCTCTCTTCGAGGGGAGAAGCTGCTTCGGTAGCAGAAATGTCAACAACAGGAGAGGCTGCGACGGACGTGACAAGCCATGCAAAGGCAAAGGAAGCAATGGAAACCCTCATCTTGGATAATCCCAGTGTGATGATGAATATCAAGTAGTGCGTATGGTTTTAAGAAGTTAGAGGAAAGAAACGATGCCTAGCCTTTGGGAAGGGACATGGTATTTATAGGTTTCCAGTCCGAGAAGAGGACGGAAAAGATTCTACCCCATCTTACCTACAGCTGCTAAAGCGGACCACCGGGCTCGAACGTTCGCGGGGTGTGGGACGAAGCCAACTCGTGGACTGCATAGCTGGTGTTCTTGGCAGACCCTTTCGACGCGACTTATAGTTCCAAACATATTCGGGCTTTCGCTCACATCATTAATAGAACCAGAAGTTATAGTAGGGGAATCTAAGGCTATTTAAAGTGTTCAACAAAGTCTAGATAGATTAATATATAAGATCTAGGGGTAAATCATGTCTTTTAGTAGATTTAGGTTCCCAAGCAATAGCGGAAATCGTACTAGCCACACCCTCAAAGTTGTGGGCAAATATCTACCCCTCATAGGTTCTTTTAATCATGCAAGTCAGCGAGATTGTTCGAGCCCAATGCCACGCTGACAATTTGTGAGCTTCAGCTTGGCTCCAGCTGGCCTCGACCCCGCCCTTTTGCTCGACGCGTCTCTTCGCCCAATTTCCCTGTTCCTTCTCCATGACGCTGTGATAATTCCTTCCATCCGTCATCTTGTCTCTAATATTTGTGGTCCACCGCCGTGCCAGCCTTTGTCGGTAGCGAACGCAGGCCATTCGTCGCTGACGAAATATCCCCAACTCTCATCTTCGTGGCTGAGTACTAGGCAGCAGGCAGAGACCTGCGCATCGCTGCCTCGAACGTCCCAAACCTTCTCCCTTTGGTACTCTCCGTAGCCCCTTCGAGGGTCGCAGACGTATGACCACTTATGAATGAGGTAGTTGTACTACAACTCACGGTGATCGCAGGCGACCGAATCATTTCCCGACCCCCATCTACCCAGACCTCGACAGAGCCTAAACCCGAACCCGAATATCGAAATGGATCCCCTCATTGTCATTACATCCATAATCGCCGTCGTCCAAGCCATCTCTGCGATATATGAGGCGATCCAATACCTCAGAGGCCTTCCGGATGGGTTCCATGAAGTGGGCAAGAGCCTCTGTCTTGCGCAAGACATTCTGCGTCTGGCCCGTCAGCAGCTCCAAGGTCTGGCCTTGGATGAATCATCCACAAAGGCCCTCCAGCCTGTGGTCAGCGGCTGCGAAGAGAAGGCCAAAACGCTCCTGTCCATTTTTGAGGAATTCGAAAAAGAGGTGAATAATGCCAACCACGGATCCATGCTCGACTTCTATCGCACCTCTCTGCTCCGTTTGGGCAAACCACCTTGGGTGGAGACCCTCATGCGAGATATCTTGAGAGGCTTGGATATATTAGCTACCAATCACTTGTTCAAGACGACCAACCAGAGCCAGATGGCAGACTTGAAGGAGGCCATTGGTCGGCTGTCCAACGTGAAGTCATTCTTGTCAGACTCGGATTTCAACAGTCCTGAGACAAACTCCCAGAATATCGCCTACGGAGGGACGGGCTATCAGTCTAACATTGCTAGCCAAGATCATATCATCAACTCTGGAAGTGACAAATCGCATAATGGGCACACTTTGACTTTCGGTATGGAATGACAGAATTGATAGGCAAATTCATGACTAACAGACTAACCTTTGCTACTATGAAGTTCAATCTAACGAAGACTACAAGACTCGGGTTGATATCCTCCAGACCCTCTATACCTCACCATATCTGGACAGAAAGAACAGGAATCCAGACCGGGTACCAGGGACGTGCGAGTGGTTCGTAGGCCACCACGACTTCCAGCGATGGCGAGAAAGCAAATCGTCGAGCATGCTTTGGGTGTCCGCCATTCCTGGGTCCGGAAAGTCCGTCTTGGCAAAATACCTGGTGGACTCTGAGCTTAAGACTACGGAATCCAGAACAACGTGCTACTTCTTCTTCAAGGATGACTTTGAGGATCAGAGAAGCGCTAAAAGCGCTCTAAGCTGCATCCTGCACCAGCTGTTCACGCAAAGGGAGGACCTATTCTCTGGCAGGATTGTCAAGCGGCTCGAAGCCTATAAAGCTGATCTTACTACCTCGTTCGATGAACTCTGGGAGGTTCTGGTTATAGCTTCGAAGGATAGGAGTGCTGGCGAGATTGTCTGTATTCTTGACGCATTTGATGAATGCGAAGATGAAGAACGGCTCAAACTTGCCCAGGCCCTGCGCAGATTCTATGACATGGAGAATGACATGAAGGATAACACCAACTTGAAGTTTCTCGTAACAAGTCGGTCCTACGACATAATCAGACGGGGTTTCGAGCCTCTCAATATCCCGGGGCTGCCTGTTATCCACCTAAAGGGGGAAAGCGACGCGGAGATATCGAAGATTGCCCGAGAGATCGATATCTATATAGAAGACAGAGTTTCGCGCATCCGAGAAAATCTGAGTCTCGAACCAGCTGAGGAACAGCTACTCTTGCAGGAGCTCCAGCGAGTTCCTAACCAGACATATCTATGGGCTTACCTGACCCTGGAGTTGATCGAAAGTGACATCAACATTAATAAGGTCAAGATACGCGAAGCCACTTCCTCACTTCCACGAACCGTCGATAACGCGTACGAGAGGATTTTATCGAAGAGTGGAAATCTCGCAGATGCCAAGAGACTCCTGCATATTATTGTCGCGGCAGCACGGCCCTTGAATCTGGCAGAAATGGAGCTCGCGTTGGCTCTCCGGGGAAACAATTACAAGTCCTATGAAGACCTGGAAGTTATGCCAGCGGCGCACTTCCGCGAGTATGTCACAGACCTCTGCGGCCTCTTCGTAACCGTGAAAGACACGAAGATCTATCTGATTCACCAGACCGCGAAAGAATTTTTGGTCCAGAAAGACGATCTGGATGTTCGAGGGGACCACGACTATCGACTCAGATGGAAAGCCTCACTCCGGCCATCAGACTCCCATCGCATTCTTTCCGGGATCTGTATCTGGCACCTTTTCTTCACTGAGTTTAGGACCAATCCTCTACGCAGAAATATGGACGTATCCCACTACCTTCGTGATCACGTCTTCCTTGACTACTCTGCTACAAATTGGGCTGCCCACTTCCGAGCGTCAGGTATCGGAAAGGGTTTAGGCATATATACGTTGTTGGGACTCTGTAGTCCAAGCTCAAGACGTTTTGAGACTTGGTTCAGGATCTACTGCGCGAGTACACAGATGGAGTTTCCTCAGGGTTTCACGAGCCTCATGATTGCCTCACATTTCGGACTTGAGGAAATTGTAAATTTTGAACTTAGATGGAATGATGCTAAACTAGGTGCAGTAGATCGCACTTATCGGCGTTCAGCGCTCTCTTGGGCTTCAGAGAACGGATTTGATGGTATTGTGAAGCTGTTGGTCAGAGGTCCTAAGATTGGCTTGACAAACATCATCAAAAAGTCAGTTTCCATACGCGCGGAAGTCAACACAAGAGATAGATGCGGTCTGACGCCACTATCATACGCTGCTTTGAATGGCCACATGCCTATCGTAGAGCGGTTAGTCAAGGCAGGAGCCCGTGTCGACTCAAAGGATGAAATTGGGGGGACACCAGTTTCCTATGCCCTTTGCTGCGGACAAGAGGCTGTAGCCAGCCGACTGATGAAGGGAGCCCAGGTTGATTCAGTGACAGTGGAGAAAATTCGCCAGGAACTGCTCTTATCCGCTGCCGAGAAGGGTCACACACCCATCGTCAAACGACTACTCGAAAATGGTGCTGCCATAGAGGTGAAAGATAGCACTGGTTGGACGCCACTCTCGTTGGCTGCTTCGGGCGGGCACGAGGCCATCGTTAAGCTTCTTGTCGATAGGGGCGCCGTCATTGAGGAGATGGATAGCACTGGCCGGACACCGCTGTTATATGCCGCCGAGGAAGGGCACGATGCTATCGTCCAGCTATTGGTTGCGGCTAGCAAGGCCGGCGCTAGAAGAACAAAAATAGACGCCCGAGAAAACGTTATTGAGCCACAAGCTATAGGTAAACTTGACACGATCGACTCTCACTCGGTTGAGCTTCATCACACCGTGCAGGACTCTCTCCTCGACCCTGGTAGCTCAGATGCAGCAACTGAGATGATCTCCGAACTTGACTCTGGGTCTGCCAGTCTTGAAAGTGGAGGGCACTCAACCAAGCATGACATCGACAATGCTTCTCTTTACTCAGTCGGCTCGGTCATTCCTCAAGGTTTGCAGGACACTTACGTCGATGAGTTTTCTCAACAACTCTCAAACGAACTCCGAAAAGTATTGATGGTCGAGGAGTTACCTGAAGGGTTTAATGAGGTTCTGCTTCCCGAGTTATTGAAAAGCTTCTCTCGAAGGCTCCACGGAGAATCTACTACGAGAGCCCAGCGAGAGACTTCGGTGTTTGTTCATCGTCACAGAAGGTACGTGATATTAAATTTTGTGGCCCCTTTACTAATATCTTTTGTAGGGATATTGTTAAATCTGTTGCTCAAACTTTTCCTAGTCAAAGCAGTGACATCCGCATACTCGAGGGGGAAACAGGAACAAGCGTATCACGAGCAACAGAAAAAGAAGGGCCGCATGATGATGCTAACTATGAGAAAGCTCTACCGCTTCGGGAGCCGTTCAAGAAGGATCCCACAGACGTTGCGCACTGGGTGTCCTCGCTCCACAGTCATATTTCATCCGAACCATCAGCTGTGGTTGATGACATTGAGAGTCAAAATCAGTCTCGAGACTCTCCGCTACTACAGATCAGAGACTATCGATCATTTATTGAAACATCACGCGCATATCAATGGCTTTTATCATCATTACAGAAGCGCTTTCAGCTGTACACGTCGGATCCAAACACGATGTATGAAATCGGTGCATCCATCCGGAGCAAGCTCTTGCAAGACGAGACGATGAGAAAGTTGAGCCGGAGACAAGCTCAACCCTCAGTCCAGATGACATTCAGCTTGGAATGGGACCTTAGGAAATTTGTTATCGACCAGGAGTACGTCAATTCAGGCCCAACTATCCTGGACCATATTCTTTGTGTTACCGGCACCCGACGACGTGCCCAAGCAACAACCGTCCAGCAGTATTTCGAGCAGACTTGGCCTGGTTTATACCATCCTCTCCTCTCTCTTTTGAATAAATTCCTATCATCCACCCAGTTTACTTCATGCAATCGTGAGTTCGGTTGGCACCTTGACCCTATCTAACCTACTATTCACTGAACACTTCTTAGTCAAACTGTCAGACGAATCATCGTTGACTATAATGCAAGACCAATCTCACTGCCGCATCATTGTGATAGGGGAATTCGAGTTTGTCGTCGAGATTGGCGAGCAACTGGGATGGCTAGGCTCTGCTTTACGTCCATCAGAGCTCGCCCAGGGTGTAGTCGATTGCGAACCCTGGATCTGGTCGGTTAATATTGATGGCCAGAGCACCCATAAGGGCAACATCACAACATATGCGACCTGTCGGATCAAGTTCCATATAAGTGAAATGGACAGCTCTGATCCTTTGCTGTCGGGATTCTGTTGGGCCAGTATGTTCCAAAACCCTGTGATCGTCGCAGGCTATCCGATTCGCCATCGCGACCAGGGAGACACTGGCCTCGAAATTCCCCTAGAAGTCATGGCAGAACTGGTGCAATCCAACCAGGTGTTCAATATGGATGGAAATATCATGCTAAAAGGGTTTTGTTCGCTTCTGGTTGTAACAGCTCTTGATGCAGATGCTATCATTTGGCATTTCTTGTTCAACGCAGATGGCAAACGAATCTCTTATTGCGACGCGCGGCTGGAGGGACCCGAGGGAATGCGGATTTCCACCCCCAAGGGCTTGGAACTTAAAGATCTCGAAACCCGTCGGCACATCGTTGGGTGGTGCTCACACGTCCGAGAGTTCACAGGTGGGCATGTTGAAGAAGCCTTTTCCTTTGTTCAGCATACTAAACAACTTTCTGTATAGGACATCCTCAAGCGGGGTTTGGCGTACAACGCTCTATCCTGCCCCCTTTTCCAAACTCATTCGTGATCGACAAGTTGTATGTTGAAAGTGGTTCTGGCTTGATCGGCGGCATTTCCGTGTCACCTGGCAAACGCGATAAACCTCTTCGCCTGGCCAGGGAGAGGGGCTTCTCAAGAATGCTAGCCTGGATCTATGCTCAGTCCTTAGTGTTAGTGGACGTTGACGATCGAAGAGCGTGGCTGGTTGACGGTGCATCCTGTCTGTTGCACCTAGTTCGAGCCTCGATCGAGCAAGACAGGAACCATCCAGCATATAAGACCAAGTGGAAACTTCCAGGAGCACTCAAGCTTGAAGGGGATGATTTTCTAGGGTTGGCCGGGGACCAAGGCATGACCGCTGTTGAAATATTGGGGAATCCCGACAACCTCAACGTTCAGCTGTACGTTGATGATGTGGAGCCGAACGCGAAGGGAGAATTGGTTGAAATCCCCTACCACCTACGTAACAAGGTTCAAGAGGTTCTACCTCAGCTTGAAGCACTTGTAGACAAGCAAGCCGAAGTTGCTGCCCAAGACGGTTACTGGATCCGTCCATCGAGCAAACCGCTAGAGAAAAGTCTTGCAGGATGGGATTTCTGGGATATCGCAGGACCGACCGGTCCGATTCATCGAAGAATCTACCATTTGCAAGCAAGCGGCCGTGGCTGGGTTGATTACATCCGGTCTATCAAGGCCGTCACCATCTTCGGGAAAGGGTTCGGAGAGTTACTCGAGCCCGAGGAACGGAATATTTGCCCAAACTGGATGACTGTTCCAAAGAGCAAGGATTACCTGGGCTCTTCCATTGCAACATTGAAAAAGATCCATGCATCGACTAACATCCAGCCCTTGGATCCGGGGTTGATCACTGCGGATATAACGTGGTCGTCACAAGCTACGCTCTTCTCACCATGTGCTTGTTTGGATTCGCATGGAGAAACGCCTCCGCACCATCATGATCCAGTCCAGCTGCTCTTACCAAAGGGACGAAATCTTCATCTTGATATTCCCAGCACATGTTTAGGTATCACTATAGGAAGCATTGAGTGCAATGGGGCGGTCGTGTTTGGACATACGCCGTACAGGTGGCCGTGGCCAAAAAGTCAGAAGACGGATGACCAAGTCGATAGCGAGTCTACTGATCCGCCACCGTCTGCTTCAAACAGCAGCCAGCCCAGAGTTGGTCCCTCAGATGAGTCAGGACTATTTGAGATGTCTTCGTCATCTTCACGTGCACAGATTACCTCAGCTAGTGATCCAGCGATGTTAAAGGACCCCGCAAAGAGCAAGGTGAAGAAAAAATGGACAATACCTTGGCTAAAAAAGCTCAGTCTCCAGTCGTCCTAAGCTACCTATCAATGTTATGGGCTGAGCTCTAACAGAGAATTTTATTTCTAAGCCATGGCTTCCTGGCGAGGAATGACTCACGCTGATATCGAGGGCGTCTTGCGCGTTGCGTCCGAGATCCATCCCGACCTCCAAGAGAGCGCCGCTGTCTTCGCTGAGCGCCTTTCGATATTTCCCGACGGCTGCCTGGTCCTAGCCCAAGGAGACGACATTTGTGGCTACGCCGTTTCGCACCCTATCCGCGCAGGCCACCCGCCGGCTCTGGATCATCAGATCAGGGAGATCGCACCCGACGCAGACCAGTATTACATCCACGATCTGGCTGTTCTGCCTCGCGTTCGGACCCGCGGCCTTGGCGCACAGTGCATTGAGAAACTCCTCATCGTGGCTGACAGGTATCAAACAACTTGCCTCATCTCGGTGTACAACTCGGCATCTTTCTGGCGGAGGTTTGGGTTCGTTCCTGAGCCGACTGATACAGCTCTGTCAGCCAAGATACGAGGATACGGGCAAGATGCTGTATATCTGGTCCGACGGAACATTTAGTCAAAGTCTACAACGATGTAACGAGTCCTATTTTCATATATCACGAAAGAAACGATGTCTCTAACACCGGAAGAAGTAATCGTTTAATGTTAATGGGTACCCTTGAGTGCATTATGTGAGGTGCTTTTACAACAAGAGCAATAGCAAAATTGGTACAGCTCACTTGGACTGTCGGATCTGGTACGGTAGCTACAATAATGTCGGGGCCAAGATCAGCGATGGTTATGAAGTTAAGGAGAAGGAATATCGGTTATAGCTTGTATATCTGAGGAGATACAAATAAGTCGTCATACCGTTTACCATCCAGAGAAGTCATTGGGGAAATTTCCCCATCTGGTTGATAGAACAACCCGAGAGAATATATCAGGTGACATCTACATCTGCTGCGGATATAAATTGCCGTCCCCCGCAAACTATTTCGTGTCAAAAAAGCGCGCTCCAGAATATCAACCTAATTCAATCATGGCTCACGTCTCTTGTTTCTGTGGCGGCGTCACCCAGAATGTAAGACCAAAGAATCCGATAGCCTCCAACAATACAGCATTGTCTCTGTGCCATTGCAACACTTGCCGACACACCACAGGGCTGCTTTGCACCTCGTATCTCCCCATTCAGGAGCCTGAAATATCGACTAATCTACGAATTTTCCGCACGTCGGGCAAGTCAGCAAGATATTTCTGCCGCATATGCGGATGCCATGTTTTCCGCACCCAGGAAAGTAATGGAGGCGAGGCAGAATGGGGAGTGGCCACCGGTGTGATCTCAAGGACTGACGACGATGTGATTGGGGAGGTGAAGTTTATAGACCACAGGCATGTGTCTGATACCAAGGATGGTGGAATTGCAAAATGGATCCCATTTGGGGACAAAGAACGAGTTTCGAAAGAAGCAGACGGATCTGAGAATGAATCAGCACAATCAACATCTCTCGAGGCTGCTTGCGCATGTGGTACTGTCAGGTTCCATCTCACACGTCCAGATGCCGCCAGCCTGGTTCCAAGACGCAATTATCCCGACCTCACACACTCATATTGTGAGACTGCCGCATCCATCCTATCGAATGTGTCCGATGAGAAATGGTGGGTCAGAGGAAGGAAATACCTCGCAGGGACCTGCACATGCCAATCCTGCCGTTTGACCTCAGGTTTTGAGATTCAGACCTGGGCATTTGTTCCGCGAGCCAATATATTTATCCAAATACCAGATGGAGAGACAGCAGCGGTAAATATCCCACTCGATTTCGACTCTCTTCCCTCCGGCATACTGCAGAGTTATAAGTCGTCACCAGCAGTGACTCGAGAGTTTTGCGGGACATGTGGTGCCACGATCTTCTGGCATGAAACTGAAGATACCGAGGTCATTGATGTCAGTGCAGGGCTGCTAAGAGGTAGCGATGGGGCATGCGCAGAAAGCTGGCTAGAATGGTGGAAAGATCGTGTCAGCTTCGTTGAGGAAGTTCAATCTGGCCGCAATGGACCGTTTGCAAATGCGGCAAAGAACCTCATTGACACATTGTCCATTGGGATGAAGGGCGAACTGGTGAATCAATCTGCTAAATAAATACGAAGAGGCATAGGATGTTATGCAACTTTTCACCCTTCGTTCGGTACATGACAGCTCCTTTTTTCATCGATTGTCGCGGTTACTTGATGATACTCTGTTCTTATTTGAACTCAGAGACACGTTTCAAGGAAATCTATTTATCTCTTGCACAGAATAACTAATTATGATCTTTATGGGCCCAAGAGGTTAACAGGACTCAGCATCTGCGATCAAGATCCATGTCTATCATCTCAAGAATCAATAGCTTATTAACCTAACCATACAGCCATTATACCATCCTCTCAATCGAGCTTGTCCCCTCATGTTTGTTCCACGTCTTAACATGTAGCCAGCGCCGACTCTGCACCTCCAGAAACCCATTCCTCAAGTTCTATATAGGCCTCCTCAAGATTTTTATTCACAATAATGATATCATGAAAACCGGGGATCTTGGCTTGCTCCATCTCAACTTTGGCCTGTTCCAACCTCCGCTCGATGCTCTTTGCCGATTCCGTACCGCGTTTGTGCAGCCGTTCCTCAAGAGCTTGAAGGCTCGGTGGAGAAATGAAAACAAATCTCATGTCCAGAGCTTTGTTCTTCTTGATTTGTGTAATCCCGCTCATCTCGATTTCCAGAATGGGTATTTTCCCTTTGGCCTGTTGGTCCTTGATCGTTTGTCGGCTGGTTCCGTAGTAATTACCGGAGAAAAATGTATATTCCACAAAGGCATTATTTTCAATGAGAGACTCGAACTCTTGTGTGCAGATGAAGTGATATGCTTCGTGATTTACTTCACCGGGTCTCGGCTGGCGTGTGGTATGCGAGACGGTGGTGGCCAATGTGTCGGAATAACGCTCCAGGAGCCTTCCAATCAGTGTTCCTTTTCCAACACCTGATGGGCCAGATATAACGATCGGTCGGCGGTCTTGATATGATTCCAGAATTAGGTCAAGATCTGTAGGGTATGTGTCAAGTTCAGACGAACCGAAAGTCATTGCGCTCCCTCTTGAGTCGATGTATGTGTCACGAGTGACTTGTAGGATACAGTAGTTTGGGGTCACAAAAAGCGATTGACGTGAGAAACTGCTTCAAACATGCGGGGTTGGGGGTGGCCATGATTTATACAAAAACCAAGGCATGTTCGTATGACTCACTGTCGCACCAACGGCCACGTAAAGTTCCAGTCAAGCCAAACCAACCATACTACTTACACCAGGATCGGGGAACTCCAGAAATCACCAAACCCGGGGCAGAATATACGGACCAGCCATGGACTGGACTTGGGTACATTCAAAGCTCAATTCTACTGCTCAAAGGTCGACATTTATTCTCACTCCCGTCACTGTCGAGCAAGAATACCTCCCTGAGGCTGCCGATGGAATATAAGTGAATCACATGAACATTTCCCACATCCACTCATCCATCCAGGATTTCTTCTCATCGCAAATCAAGACTTCGCGACTAAAGCTTCCTAATACTGAGTCTGTGCCTAGCAGGTCCTAATTCAGGTTCCTCACGGTCGTTTGTGTGACTTGACTTAAACTACTCACGGACCGGGCTCGCCTATAAATTCCAGACAGAAGCAGCCGTAGAATGCTTCCACTCGAAATTCTGCTATCCAACGTTCTTATCCGATTACCATCAATCCTATTCTCCAGAATTCTTACGCCGTTATTAAAAACAACTTCACCATGTGCGATCGACTCTACGAAGTCTGCACCCGATGTGGCAGGGCCCTCGGCCCAACTACTATCCGACCGTGTGGTCGACCTGCCACCTGCGGTGGGCCATGGCCTTGCCCATACGCGAACAATCGTTTCTGTTTCGGATGTTTGGACCAAGCACGAGGTCGTTAGTGCTAAAGGTCCCTCGAATTTCCGATTCTAAGCCCAATAGGGCGGAGGGGGGTGAAATATGAGAGAGCCCAGACAACCCGTTCCGTCGAAACTATTACCATTTGTTTCTAAATGCCTGCACCGGTTCTCAGATTATGAGAGCCTCCAGGATACAGTTCTACTAGGCTAAAAAAATCCCAAAAAATTCACGAGATATAAGTGCCGATACAGTGATAAGTGCAGTGAACTTTTCTATTGTATCCCAAGAATTACAGGCCCTCGTCATGGGATTCCGGCTGTTCAAAGTTCAAGGAATCCAGATCAATGCCACCAACAGCCCATTCAGGATAGACCCATCCAAACATCGATCTAAGGTCGCCCGATTCAGCCGTTTGGAAATCGGAAGCTGCTTCGAAATTCATTGGCGTCGGGTAGTTTAAGTACTCCGAGGGCGCTGGCGTACCGATCTGCGGATCAGAGATATACTCCATGCCAGGAACTGAGGTTGATGCCGAAGCGCCCTAACAAGAGCAATGATGAGTTAAGATTTTCTTCCCAATTGTTCCTAAGAAAAACGATCATTTTACTCACCATTTGAAAAGCTCCGTCTGGTGCAACAAACGCTTGTTGACGCGGTAGCTGATCCATGCCTTGGGTTGCCGTTGACTCCTGCATCATCGTCACCGGCAGGCTGGGAGGATCCATCGCCATTTGTGACGATTGAAGTTTAGCTTGCTGACTCTTCCAGTAATATTCTCTTGCAATCTCTGCAAACTCTGACAGAATGCCGCCTGGCATCGCTCGATCAGACGCGATAGAAACGAGGCTGAAGTACCCCGCGGCTGAGTCCAGCAAGGATAAGTTCGTTCTTGATTCACGGTGATACGGATTATGGATGACAAAGTCAAAGAGGATGAACACCCCCGCCAGAGGCAGGACAGTCAAAATGCTTGTATGCCGAATCAGCTCCTGCTCACCCCAGCGGAGTTTGACATGGTGTGACTCACAAAATAGGAATATGAGGCTGGACATCAATATGCTTTGTCAACTCGATAATCGTTCTTGCTGTATTCATCAACCTCTGCTTGCTCATTTGTCCCTTGTCGCCCTGCTCGAGTTCAAGGTGCAGAGTGAGACGCTCGAGGGCGATTATGATATGATAGTAGCTATAGTGAACCTGGAGCGCGATAAGTGAAATGCTCATAGTCGGAGACGCCGGGAAGCTTGCTGAGTCCCCGGGCCGGTACTCGGCGGGTATGGACTGGCGCCAGTCCTCGAGAATACGGCGGATGTGGCCCATGGCAACTTGATAGGATTCTCTGGACCTCAGCGACGCACTGATCGAGAAGAGTGAGTTGTATACAATGGAGCTGATCCGCCCAATGCGGATAAAGGCGACAAACCAATTGAAGGTCCCAACCTGTGCCTCCGGAAATGGTGGGACTACACAAGCAATATCCTCGTCAGGAATAAGCTTGGTCTTTGATTAGCAAGATGTGGTGTTGGGTGAATGGAAGAACCAACATGCAGAAATGACTTACAGAGCATGCTCGCCCATGGATAGCTTGTTGTTTTTCGAGGGCATATATCACCCAAAATACTCTCAGGTGTTTTGCTTCGGAGACGATATCCTTATGATAGCGGAGGGTGACAACCATCCTAGCAGCCTGTGAAATGAGGGTGTCCTGGATCTGGAGGCCACAGAGATTCATAGAAAATATAGACTACAAAGATTAGACGTCTTCTCCAAAATAAATAGGACCACTCACCATTGCGGCTAAAGCCTATTTAACATGCTTGTGTAAGCTAAGATATCGAAAGGTCAGAACAGGGGAGTGGGAAGCAAACCTGGACGCTCTCAATGGACTCCCGAGGGAGAATAATATCCGACATGTGGCCCAGGGCCACCTGAAAATATTCCCATGATCTCCCATTACCAGGTTCAAATGTCCCACACTGAAGATATTGACTACCCAGAGCCAAAATACTATGGTACAGAGCCGAAAATGCTGGGCTTTGCTTCAACAGGTCGTCTAGATTTGGACTGAATGCCTGGCTTTCGAACTCTTCCTGGTCAAGGAAGGGATATACCGGATGAAGATTGTTGAAGTATGCTTTCTGATGTTACCACACGGATCGTCTTACTAGTCAAAAGCGCACCGTTCTCACCTTGAATATAGGAACGAGTCTCATGAGATGTAGGTCGGTCTTTTTGTTCTGGTTTTTCAAAGTTGATAGGTGGCCAGATTGGTTCGTCGGTAAGCCCAAGCCGAGATGCAATGTAGTCATCTAGTTTCTTGACGATGTCTTGAAGACGAGTGTTGCCAATCCTTTGCGTCAATGATGCTACCTTCTGCTCAGAGAAGAAAGCCAGGCCAGAACTCAGGACTACGGGATCAGTATAATTTCAATATGGCATGCATGACCTACTTTTGTACTCACCTTGCTCATCAGGCGCCTGCATTGAATGTCAGAGTCAATCAATTATCTGGAGGTAGTCAAAGCAATACAGAAACAAGGGATGGAGAAACTTACCGTCAAAACGCTTGTCTCATCTGGCAGGATGACGCTCTGAGGCCCGTATTGAAGTAGACGATCAACAAGGAATTCATCAGGGGCCAGTTCACTAGAATATTGGGAGTGGGAGGAGAAGGAATCGGGAACTGAGTTCTGAAGCTTAGCATGATATACCCTCAGGTAGATGAGACCGAATATGGATGACCAGAGGCCTGTCTGGGTGTGATGAGGTGGTTACAGGGTATGCCGGTTTACCTCGGATGCGGACTTTGCGGCGGAAGATGCTAAAGTGACAGGGTTGGCCACGTTTCTGTGCGGTAGAGCGAGATGTCAGCCAAGTCTTGACGCGTGGGACCGACCAGGTTAAAGCAGCACTGTCTACGATCTGAAAAACTCACCGCACAATAGATGCAAGCTGGCGGCGTGCCAGGCGGAGTGTCGGGCACTGGGCGATGGACGAGGGTCTGGTCAGGTCATGTCACTGACGGCAAGTGATTCCCCGCACTCCAAACGGAGCGGGAGACTGGAGCGCGTCTCACCGATGCACCGGATCTTGCGATGCCTGCATTGGTCGCAGGTCTTGTTCATTTTGAAGGCCAGGCCGCCCTGGCTGCTGGACGCCATGGTGCTGGAGCTCAGATCTGGTCAGATGGGATGGAACCGATCACGATGCGCTGCCTCAGTGTCATCCAGCCAAGCCACAGAGAGCGTCATGCCATGTTTGCCTTCACCAAGCGAGAAACCGGGTTATGTAAGCGTGATGGCTGGTGCAGGGAACGTCCTTGCTCGGCTTGTGAGTAAGCCCACACAGCCAGCCAAGCTTGTCCCTGACGTGTTCCGTGCGCGGGCAACGACTTTGCTTCTCATTGATTCACTTACGAAAACGACGCATGAGTGCTAGGGCTGACCAGAGAACTGCCTTAGAAAGCTAGCCAGCATTGTTTGCTGACGCGTTTGTGAGCTCCATTTGTGGCCACAAAGACGGAGGCCTGGGCAAGGGGCAGTCTCAATTATTAAATTAAGGTTTCAGGATGTGCCCCATTTCCTCGGACTCAAAAACGTTCTAGGCTATCAAGAAATTAATGACAATTGCCTGTATAGTAGAATAAAAGAAAGGGATATATGAGGAAATGTAAATGTTTTACTGTACTTAGGCACCAATTTGCATATAGAAAGGACGACTCGCCAGTTCCATACTCTTCTTAGGAATTAGCAAATTATCCATCGAACATTGACAGCCCAGAACCTAAGAATCGGACAAATAATGAGCACGAAATTTGGTAAACAGTCTGCCCCAGCCGTACCATGACTAGAAGAGTATGATCACCAGCATGACACCCCTGTTCACTATTCTGGAAATAAGGTGAGTGAGATAAACGAACCTAAGATTTGGCCCATGAGAGACCGCGGGAGAACCAGCCTTATGTGGAGGCGAATCGTCCGAACAATGACACCCCACGATGAGCCTGCTGGCCCGAACGAGCTTAGATGTGTATTTTGGTCTCTTCTTTGCATCGGAGAAATTCCAAATTTAGTAGATTCAATACGATCAATTACGGTCTAGACGCGATTGTATGCATCTTACTTAGATTCCGTAGGTCTTAGGTTGCATCATCCGATCGGCCCCAGACGCCTGCTTCGGCATGCTACAAATTTCACAACACACGAATTTGAAGTCAGAGAATGCATATTTATGATTGAGAAAATATTCACAATAATTTTACGCTTGATAAATATGCAAAAAATTGTATACACGAGACAGATATCCCAGGTGACAGACGCCACAGTATCCAACCTTGACCTACACGCGCATCACACGCCGCGGGGCAGACAAATCTAAGCGGTGTTGTAGTACATGTCGATGGACTTGATCTTGAAGACGGCATCGGCGGTGGGGGGTCCAGCGGACCAGCCCTTGTCGCCGTTGGACCAGTTGTTCCAGACCCAGGGGCCGGCGACGCTGGGGACGTCCTTGGTGGTCTCGGCGACCTGGACGCCGTCGACGAACCACTGGACGCGGCCCTGGGTCCAGTCGATGCGGTACTCATGCTCAGTGGAGGTGGGGTTGGAAGGAGGGGCGACGGAGAAGACGGTCTTCTGGCCGTCGCCGTCGTTCTCCTGGTTGGTGAGCCAGAGGTGGTTGACGCCGCCGTCGGAGGTGTTGTTGGGGTCGGAGAGCCACTCGATATCCGTCTCCTGGGAGTCGGACTTGTAGAAGAAGATGCCTATTAATCGATGTCAGAAAGGGGATCACAAATACTTGAATATGAAGAAAACGTACCGTTGCAGACACCGGGTGTCTGGGAGAAGATAGCGACGGTACGCACACTGCCGTACAGGATGTTGCTGACGGTAGTGTCGACCTCGGCAGACTTGTAAGGCTTGGACTGGCCTCCTGGAACAGTGAGCTGCAGGTAGCCGTCCTTGACGGCGACGTTCTCGGCGTTCACGCTCCAGTTCTCGTCAATGCCCCAGTCGCCGGCATACAGACCGTCCGGCAGGCTGCTGCCCTCGAAAGTGAACTGCTTGTGGTTGCTGAACTGGGCAGTGTCGCTAACAACGTAGACGCCGTTCTCCAAGGCGGGCTCGGCAGAGCGCTTGCTGCAAGTTGGGACCGACCTGGCGGCCGAGAGGCCGGCCATGGCCGTAATAAGAGCTGACTTGGAAAAGTACATGATGAATGAATGAATGCCGGATTCAAAGAAAGAGTGAACAAATTGACAAAAGAAGTTCCAACACCTCAACAAGAATCAACTCCTGCAACAATTCCAGGCCATGAAGATCCTATATAGCTCCTGGTCTCTTTAGACGCCCTTGGCACCTGGTGGAGCATGTAAGCAAAATGATCACCAGTTGCGGCATAGCTCAGAGCTGAAACAGGGGCATCCTTCCAAAATAACCCAGCCGGGTTTCTCGTCTCCTCTAGCATCATGCTAGTGAACCGAGTTAGGTTCCATGGGCCGTGGCCCCAAACCCTGCCTGAGCTATTCTTGCGTTACATTTGTCATCTGTTTCTCCCAGTGGCTTTCCATTGCTTCAGGCGGACTGCCGTGATGTTTGTCACCCAACCTGGGCTTGGGAACCCACTCTCCAAATGATGAAATAGGAGCTCCTCCACACAACTACCGGGACAAGACTTCTTCCCGCCTGGTCTGTAGGAATTGGAACCCTGACTCTTGCGCCCCGGCAGTTTCGGCCCCATTGTGTTAGTATAATTGTTATTCAGTCCGGAAAGATGTCAGCGGCGGATTTGGCCCACTTAGTCCGAGGGCATTACAAACACAAACGAGCTTGAAATGAAGCTTTGTTCAAACGATGGATGCAGAACTGTGCCGTTGCTGTGAGCTGATTATCGCCCCTTGGATGGTGAAACCAGCTAGGATGGTCCCTCCTCACCCAGATCTCGGAATTCGGTTGAGTGTATCATTGCCGTAGGAAGCACTAGTCACTAATCAACCACGATGCCGTAAACACGACGCGTCTCTGTTTATTTGCCGTCGATGTGCTGAGTGCTCATCTCTTACTGTCGCCCTATAAAGGTAACATTTGTAAGGCCTTGGAATCAGGATTCGAAGCGTAACCACAGAGGCACGCCATGTCGATCCTCAGGTGGCATCATTGAGTACCGGGACTTGTTGGGCCAGCTCGGTATTGACGAGGGCACTCCACAAAGGATCAGGCGTAAGATGAAACAGCCGGCACCCCAGCTAACACTTTGCCGCAGCCAGCTCTTACAATTATAGCAACAGCATGCCTCGAGCTATTGGCCGGCTACAGTAAATCTTCCAGGTTAGGAATTTGAGATGGCTCTCAACTAAGCAATGCTTTTCTCCGACCCATGGACATACCGGCGTATAGGTGTATACTTGTAGGGGAATGGCGGAAGTTCTTTCTGGTAGATTAGACTCCAGGCACATGATGTCTCAACCCAGGCCTATAAATCAACAACATATTATATGCTCATGGGCACCACCGCGCGCCAATGACGCAGTAAGGGAAATCTTCGCTTGATCGTCTTGACTGAGCTCTATTGTAGAATGTACGTTTTGGAGTTGACCTCGCCCTTGAGCGCCTCACCATGCATCACCCCATACAGGAATGTCTCGCCCACCAAGCCATATCCTTCCCCGTCCTTCTCTGGCCGGACCATGTATGGCGTCTTGCCCCCGTAGAAGATACATACCTCATCCCCCTCTTGCATGTGTGATGGTCCCAAGCCCAAAAACCCCGTACTCGTCAAGAAGGGGCGGCGAGAATGGAGGTAGTGAATCGCACGAACCAGCCAGTCGTCGTCACTCGGAGTTTGATCCTCCTGCGGCTTCCCATCTTCTCCAATCGGGTTCACCAGCTTCACCAGCCTGTCGTATGCCCAGATGAACTCCGCAATGTAGTTGGCAATGAGTTGGCCGCTCACGTCCTCCTCCCCGTACTGCGCCCCGTCCGATGTGGCAACTCGCACGGCATCGAGCAGCTCCTCGTTCGCCCGTACCCGCGGCGACAGCTCACACAGCTCCTTGATGTCATCAATGAACGCGAGAGCCGCCTCCCGGTCCAGCGGCTTCTCCCAGTCCGGGTTCCAAACCTTGCCGTACTTCTTCACCGTGTCCACCGAGAACCCCTTTATGCTCAGCCGGTCGCGGCTGACCTCTTGCACTTGCTGTTTCTCATCCGAGTCGCCCGAGGCGGAGAACTTGCTGTACCATGGCCCCTGGTTGCACGGGTTGCGTACAGGCATGCACCAGTCCGGCGCCCATGTCGGCAGACCCTCGATCTCCTTCGGGAACTGGCTGTATGATAGAACATCCACGTTGCCCTGCTTGAGCAGCGCCAGCGCCGTGTCATGGTACACCTCCGCGCACGTCTTGGAGTAGTCCACAATCCCCTTTATCTCATCAACGTCGGCGGCGAGATACAGCAGCGAGAACACGCGGTCCCGGGGGTCCGACGTCTGCGGGATGTTGTAGTCCCTCTCCAGCACCAAACAGGTCGTGAGGACCTGGAAGAACAGATCGCCCTCGTAGTCCTCGGCCCGGAACCTCGCCCGGCGCGTGACGACGCTGTCGAGGAAACTCCGCGAGGGGGAGTCGTAGTTGGTGTACAGCCTCTCCAGCAGGAGGTCCCTCCCCGGCGTCTGGCGCTTCTCGATCTCCTCCCTCACCCTGCCGGCCGACTGCTGGACGGCCAGCAGGAGGTCGTACGGGAGCATGGCCGAGCCGCACATGACGGACACGTGCGAGGCGATGGCGAATTCCTGGAGGATCCACAGCCTCTTCCAGTAGCTCCGCCGACAGAGCGAGTCGTACGCCTTCTTCATCCCCTTGAGGTGCTCCTCGTCGTCGTGCAGCATCTCCAGGCCGTCCCAGTCGCGGTTCCTCACCCCGTTGCCCATCCTCCGCAGGTGGGTGAAGAGCGCCTCGCAGCCGTCAAACGAGGGCCCCAGCCAGGCGACGACGGAGTGCGCGTCGCTGTAGATGTGCCGCATCTGCAGGACCTGCTCGTTCTTCTCCTCGTTGTCGCGCTGGTTGATGCAGATCTGGTCGACCCAGAGGTGCGAGACCTCGCCGCGGCGGCAGATCTCCCTGAGGGCCTGCTCGACGGTGGGGCTCACCCGGCACGCCTTGTCGTTGACCCTGAGGGGGACGGTGCTCGCCTCGGAGCCCCAGGTGTAGGAGAGGGCGGCGTACTCCGGGCAGGTCGTCCGGGTGAAGGTCTCCAGCGCGCAGTCGAGGGGGGAGTCGGCTGCCGGCGCGGGGGGCAGGCGGACGAGGCGGATCTGGCGGCGGTCCACGCCCAGGGCCTCGTAGTCGATGCCGTTGTCCATGTTTCAAGCTCTCGCTGTAGAACTCGGTTCAGCTGTGAGTGTTTGGTTTGGACTTGGGACGAGAAGTCGGCGCATCGAGGCCACATAAGAAGGGACTGTGCAGGGGTCTTGATGACGGGACGCTAATGGGCTGCCTGAGTCTGCCTTGCTGAAGCCATCATGTAAGCTGATTTACCCGTTGCAACGCTAACTGGGCAATCAAGATGGGCAGCCTGTCATGTCATATCCTTCCTTGGTGAATCGGCCTTACTTTGTTGACAGCTGTCAGAAGGGGAACCTGTGAGAGGTGAGAATGACAAGCAGCCAACATGAAAACGAACGGTTGGATGGTTACAGTTACGTGGCTTCTGTATCAGATTAGCCTGCCGAAGCTTATGTGTCAATCTCACTGATCGGCCTCCGCCATTAGGTAAACCTTGAGCCTTCATTGTTCCGATTGTTTCTTAGTGCCCGATCTAGTTCCCGGAAGCTTGAGATGGATTATTGGTTAGAGATTCTGGAGGAATGAATGTAATAAATATGCGCAGAAGTCACGGTCAGTATTCCTTGAATCGGGGTATAACAAATAGGTCTATCAAAATGGCTATAATTGAAGACATGGGCGTCGTAATTCAAGGCACAAGTGCAGTCTGGCTCCTAGTGCGCCAACAATGGCATCCGGTCCTAAAGACACGGCAGTATACGCAAGAGAGCACCAGGCTCACGAACCACCAGATCCGGCGTCGCTAGCCGACGAGACAGAAGACGCGCTGCTCACGGAGCTCCTGCTGCTGGCACTACTGCTCCCCTCATGATGCTCACCTCCTCCGTGCCCGCCTCCTCCATGCCCACCACCACCGCCCATCGGGATCGGGATGAAGCCGAATCCTCCCCCTCCTCCGTGGCCCTTGTCCTTCTTCTTGTCCTTGTCCTTCTTGCTCTTCTTGCTGTACTTCTTCGCCATGGAGAAGGCCCCCGTGGCCAGCGCGCCCAGACCGGCACCGCCCGCCACGGCACCCCACGTGCCCTTGTCCTTCTTGTCCTTCTTATCCTTCTTCTCCCCGTCCTTGCCCTCCTTGCCCTCTTTACCCTCTTTACCTTCTTTGCCTTCTTTGCCCTCCTTGGGGGGTTTGGCGCCAAAGGCCCCCATTGCCGCGCCGATAGGCAGGCCGGCACTGGTCAGCTGCTGCGAAAACCTGCCGAACAGTCCTCCCTCGTCTTTGCCCTTCTCCTTGTCCTTCTTGTCCTTCTTCTCCTCCTCAGCTGCAGGCGCCTGGGGAGCACCGCCGCCGTAGTAATTGGGCTGCTGCTGGCCACCGTACGCCGGCTGCTGCTGCTGCTGGGGGTAGTGCTGGCCCGGGTCCTGGAAGCCCGGATAGGCCTGCTGCTGCTGGTGATGCTGCGGTGGAGGCCCGCCGTACGCGCTGGCGCCAGTGCGCTCGTCCGCCTGGGGGGTGCCTGCGTACTGCGGCTGCTGCTGCTGCTGCTGCTGCTGGCCAGGGAAGTAGCCCTGCTGCTGCTGCTGTGGTGGGTAGGGGCTGCTGTTGGACTGCGGCGACATGGCGGGGGGACCGCCAGGGAACTCCCACTGCGACACACCCGATTGCGTGTTCACGTAGAACCTATGCGGGGAATTGGCCTCTTGTTAGAAAATAATCGCCTCTTTGCGACCACGGGGACTTGCGCAACTCACGGCCGCTGGTACTGCTCATTCCACTGCGATATCCATCCTGTCGGCAGGGGCGGTGCCCCGGGAGGAGGGCCTGGAGGAGGGGCTTCCATCTTGCATGCAGCACGATATGCAGGACCAAGACACGCCAGAAAGCTGGGCAAAGCGTGGGCGCCTTTTCTCTCTTCGTCTCCGGGCTTTTCTCTTCTCTTTCACTTCCGTGTCTACGTCGCGTTACCGGTAGCGACAGACGGCGGCAACGAGGAGCCGTGTTTACCCAGATGAGGGGGGAATGTGGGATGTGGGAGGTGGGAGAACGCTCGCCTCGGTTTAGGCGGTGGGAGCGAACGGGAACCGACCTTAATTATTTAAACAATGAATTAAAGCTCTCTTTTTTTTCACGCCATCCGCCTCCCCACCTCTTTATTTGGAGTGACCAACCAGTTTGGCTGTGCAGCGGGGAACGGCCAAGGCAGCACACATCCCTCAGCCTCCCTCCATCTCTGGCTGTGACCCCTCCACCGTCTAAGCCTTCTGGCGCTGCCCAACCGCCGCTCTTGTAGCCCAGTTCATGTGGGGGGAGGCAGATCCTTGGAGTATCTCCTCTAGCCCTGTCGGTGGGACCTCAGCTTCAGCTCGTCAGCTAAAAACGTGCCTTGTCGTGAATAGTTGCTAATGAACCCTGGCTCTTTTTGCCGGTAGCCGATCGAGCTCGAGGCGTTTGATAACGGCAGTGCGGTGAGTCTCCAGGCGCCAGTCTGTCTGTCCCTCGACGCAACCCACCCACGGATCGGTTGGAGGGGTAGAGTCGCAAGACAAGGGGCAGAAAGCAGGAAAATAGAGGGGCAACAATGCCAAGTCTTACGATTAGACGGTCTTCTCATCACGGTCACATGCAGATAGAGCAAAGAGACCGGCTGATCACGTACCAGATTCGAGGCTAGGCTCGTTGGATTCTAGTGAGAAAATGGTTTTTTGTTAATATATTTTACTATTTTACTCTCTGCCGCTCGAAAACGATTCAAGTCCATCTACGCCCACAGCTGCTCCTCCAGCTTGCCCGCCTCGGCCATGACCTCCCGCACGGCCTTCTTGGCCGGCTCGGCTGGCTCCTCGTACGGGTGGCGCGGCCGCAGCTTCTCCTCGGCGCCGGCGATGCCAGCCAGCCTGCCCGAGTAGACGGAGACGGCGAACTTGGTGGAGGCGATGCCGCTCTTGCAGGGGCTCTCGGCCAGGGCGGCGCGCTGCTGCAGCCTGACGGCCTCGTCGATCTTCCCCGCCTTGTAGAGCCTGTAGATCTCGGCGGAGAGCCTGGGGAAGACGTTGGCGAAGGCGCCGATGGCGCCCGCGCTGCCGGCGGCCAGGCCGCCGACGAGGAAGTCGATCTGGCCGCCGTAGGTGGAGAACTCCTCGGGGGAGAGGGTGGCGGCGAGGCGGGTGATCTTGCCGACGGAGGCGCAGGTCAGCTTGACGCCGACGACGTTGGAGACGCCGCTGGGGCTGGCGGCGGCGCTCTCGCGGACGATGGCGGTGATGGTCTCGGAGTCGATGTCGACGCCGTTGCAGACGCCGGGGAAGTTGTAGATGACGACGGGGAGGGGAGACTTGGCGGCGACCTGGGAGAAGAAGCGCTTGACGACGGCCATGGAGGTGGCCTTGCCGAAGTAGGCGGGGGGCAGGACGAGCAGGTAGTTGGCGCCGGCCTTGGCGGCGTCGTTGGCCAGCTCGAGGGTCTGCTTGGTGGAGTGGGCGCCGACGCCGGCCATGATGGGGAAGTTGGGGCCGACGGCCTCGCGAGCCGTCTTGATGAGCTGGAGGCGCTCCTCGCGCGTCAGCAGGAAGGCTTCCGAGTTGGTGCCCATGGCCACGAGGCCGGTCAGGCCCGACTTGGCCAGGTAGGAGAAGTACTGGGCCTGGGCGGCGAGGTCCAGCTCGTCCGTCTCATGGTTGAAGAAGGAGATGGCGGGCACCCAGACGCCGGCCGCGGGGACGTGGGGGAAAGCTGACGATGAGCCGTTGACGGTCATGATGCTGGTCTGGGGGGGTCGGAGAGAGGTGTGATATACAGGCTCAATCGGGTGGAGGCAGAAATCAAATACCTAGGTAACAGGCTCGCGATGCTGTAGAAAATAATATCGTCGCCTTCACTCCATCCAGGGCGCAGCAAGCATCTTTATCAACGGATTGAGTTTCCGCTCGGATCTCTGCCCGTCGAGTTGCCTCGTCTGCTGCGTGGCTCGGAGCAGATCCGAGGCGGGCGACCAGCCGAGCGAGGCAAATCAAACCTCAAGTCAGTCGTCTGGCCTCCGAGATACGGAGCCAGACTGAGTTCAACCACTCAAACGCGCTGTTTCAGAGGTTCGAGTGGAACAAGCTCCCGTAGCGCCCAGAGAGCCGGCAGCGCATGAATCAAGTCATGTCGACTCTCGACGCGATAGATACCCGGCACAACGGGAGTCTCGTGCCTCTCCTTAGACTGGAGAAGAGCACGCCAATTCAAGCCAGTGTCGAGCCAAATAGCCGTCATTTCAGGACTTGTCGCGCATCTCCTCGTGAGGGGAAACTGCCTCTTCGTTCAATGTTGTTTTTATTTCCGGCTGACTGATCTGGCGAACGAGCGGGGTAATCCTCAGTCGCGTTGAAATGCCTACCCTATACAACATGTGTTGACGGCGACTTGGGACTCGTCACGTCAAATAATTCAAAACATTACTAATTCGAGCCTTGATTCAATGCTTGTCAAATTATGTTCGGGGGCGTCGTAATTTTGTAGTGATCAAAATCATGCTCCTGGTCAACATGTCTTGGGTGGTGTTGTCGGCTGAATTCCCGTAACTAGCACAGGCATCTTTGACGAAGTTGATTTCCATATCGTCGAATGGTTACGGGTATATGAGCTGATAAGATGGTATTTGATGAATAGCACAGTAGTCTCCCTAAGTAGGTTAATTGATTCCCTACTATTAATACCTCCTGTTGGCAACAATTCCTGAACTAAAAACCAACCGCAGACCAGACGGAAGCCATGGCGGAAAGTGGGGCAGTCGCTCCAAAACGGTGCCAAAAGGTTTCACCTCCTTCTTCGATCTGAGAAGCACAGCAATTTCCACCTCATCAGAGGGGTGGTCAGGCTGACTGCACCGCTGTGTACGACGACGCGCTCTCACGAGTGCGATTCAGTAACTAATTCTCCAGTGCGCCTCGTGCGCCGGTCGTGGGTCTTCGCCACCGTCGCCTTGATTGTACTTGTCTCTTTATTTCGTCGTTTTCGAGTAGAAAATTTATCTGCTTAATCACCCCCCTTTTTGGGAAAAAAAAAAAAAAAAAAAAAAAAGGATGGAAGGCCACGCCTCTCGGATGCGCCTCGGTATGGCTCATTATTCATGGTGACATTTCCACCCATTATGAGCCATTCTGGTTCAGATCCCCGCCATCCCAAAGCGGACAGGCCCTTGGTGGTTGGCCAACATTATTCTTATGTTATAGAGTCCAGTCCTTATAGTGAAAAAAAGTCAAATAAATATATCAATCCAGTTCTTGACTTTTTAATTCATCATCTCCTTTCCTCGATCTATATCTACTGCTTCCCTCTTTTTTTTGATCCGATAACTCAAATTCAAGCTCACCAAGTTTTAGAGCCTACCTACGCCTGGCCATTGCCCAACATACCTACCTTACATATACTTCACCCTTACTTTGCCAACGAACCAGCGAGGCCAAATGTCTGATAGCAGCGATGTGGAGGCCGCGACCAAGGCTGAAGCGAAACACCCGGCTAGCATCAATGAGTCTCCAGTAGACGACTATGAGCTGACCGGCTTGCCGCTGGTCCTGGTTATCGCTGGCTTGGGCCTCGCCATCTTCCTCATGTCGTTAGACTCATCCATCGTTGCCACCGCTATTCCCCGTATCACGACAGATTTCAACAGCACCAGTGATATGGGCTGGTACGGAAGCGCGTACTCCTTCGCAATGTGCGCGCTCCAGCCTATGGCGGGCAAGTTGTTTTCAAAATTTCCTTTGAAGGTGAGATATGCTCCAATCTGACCCTCAGAAACTCTACTTACCAAACACGAAAGGCAACGTTCCTTGCCTGTCTTGCCGTCTTTGAGCTGGGGTCTTTGCTGTGTGCCCTGGCTGTTAACAGCCCCATGCTCATTGTTGGGCGCGCTATAGCTGGAGCTGGGGCGGCGGGATGCTTTACTGGAGCCTTTTGCATTGTCGCAGTTTCTCTCCCCTTGGAGAAACGGCCATTCTTCGTTGGGATTCTACAATCGACATTTGGCATTGCCACCATCATCGGTCCCATTCTAGGCGGTGCCTTCACACAGCATGTGACGTGGCGGTGGTGCTTCTGGATCAACTTGCCTCTGGGTGCTGCTACTATACTTGCTATTGTATTCTGCTTCAAACCACCACAGGACGGTTCCAAAGAAGCGCCATCCGTCCTGAAGAGATTACAAGACTTGGATTTTGCTGGCGCTGTGCTTTTTGCTGGGGCCATTGTCATGGTACTTTTGGCTCTTCAATGGGGAGGGACTTCGTACGCTTGGCGAAGTGCTACCATCATCGGCCTCTTCCTAGGAGGGGCGGGACTTGGTTTCGTGTTCGCCTTGTGGCAATGGCACAAGGGAGACAGTGCTATGATTCCTCCACGTCTCATGACTGAACGCACCCAGTTCTTCGCCTGCATGACCGAGTTCTTCGCCATGGGCTCAGTCTATATCTCGATCTACTATCTTCCCACATGGTTTCAAGTTGTCAAGGGCGCCTCGCCCACGAAATCCGGACTCATGTATCTTCCTTTGGCCTTGTCAGATGTCCTATCCGCCACGCTGACGGGCGCATCGCTTAAATGGCTCGGGTATCCAAATCCCTATGCCATCCTCGGGACGGCCCTGATGTGCATAGCATCTGGTTTGTTCTCCACGTTCGACCTTGACACCCCCCATCAGGAGTGGATCCCCTTCCAAGTCCTCCAAGGCCTTGGTATTGGCATGATGCTGTCGATGCCTTACGTCGCTATACAAACGGTCCTCAAACCCGCAGATATCCCTGTTGGCACCTCGCTGCTGCAGTCCTTCCAGTACTTTGGGGCTGCAGTGTATCTCGCCGTCGCCGAGTGCCTTTTCGAGAACAAACTGGTCGAGCAACTGCGCAGTTCGGGGTTGGATCAGCTAGAGATCGATGCTCTCCTGAAAGCAGGCTCTGCTGAGGTGAGGAACGTGACTTCCGAGGAGCAGCTCTCGGGTGTCCTCCACGCTTACAACTACGCCATGACAAACACGTTTTACGTTGCGACGAGCGTGGCTGGCGTTGCGTTTTTCTTGTCGTTCGGGATGCGCTGGAGAAGTGTCAAGCCGCCGAAACCTTGAGCTTGATGGAATTGGTCAAAAATTAACCTCCTTTTTTTCTTTTCTTTTTCTTAGAATCTGGTGCCTCTACTGCAACCATCAATAGATAGACTCGCCTCTTGGCACTTTTATTATAGATTAGACATTGGAATGATTTTTATAGGTTTTTTCCCCTAATTTAGCGAAAGAGAGAAATGAAACCTGTGCTTGGATTTCCTGGAAACGTCCACATCATGCTGAAATAAATAAAATGACAGTGATTGGGCTACGAATCGTGCCTTATAAAATAACAAGAGAAGGGTTTCATAATCCCAAACTTCTGAGACGAGAAGCTTGTCTCGAGGGGAGAAAAAGATATCTACACATCTTCTCCTGAAGGGCTCCGTCCTCAACCGTCGTTGAATATATCTCAACCATTGACAAAAACCAACTCTGATCAACAGATTTCTGAGTAGTCATGGCCGCGGTAACAAGGCACCAGAGACGCACCCCTTCATCGAACACGCCCTCCCAAAACCGAGCAGCCAGCAGGCTGGAACGAAGTCTTGGGAGTAGTGTTGCCGCTGAAACCTGGGCTCCGTGGTACTCTGTCGCACTCAGAAGGAAAATCATCGCAGCAAGTCTGATCGAGTTGTTGATGTCGTCCAGGTTTGAAAGTAAGAGTAGGCGGCAGAGCAAGGCCTGGAGCCTGAGAAAAAGGTGATGCTCAAGATGATGAAATCTCCGTGTTCCTGCCCAGTAAGCTTCGGCGAAGTGGAGGAATTCCGCGATATCATCAATAATCCGTTGTAGGCTCCCGGAAATTGGGATGATTCTGAACCCACTTCCTAAAGTTGGTATTGGAATTGCCGAGTGTTGATTGTCAATCAACCCCATTGGCAAAGGCCCTAAATCCCATGTAAAGGGTAGAGTAGGAGCCTCCCAGTTGGTGATGGATATGTATTTATCTGCCAGAATCGCGCTCTCCAAAATGTAAGGATCGAAGTTTTTCCAACCGCCGGCTTCAGACACCAGCTGTTTCATAATATCAAGATGGGGTTGAGCAGAGTTGGACCCGAAAGAGTCGACTTCGAGGATGGACAAGGCTCTCATGGGATACCGCGCCCAAATGTAGGGAGTGGTATTCCAGAATTGCGTAATAGCTAGGCTATAGATGGAGATCATAATCCAGTTATCGACCTTGAATCTCGATTGACTAGCAAGGCGCATCCTCACGGCTTGGAGGGCTTTGCCTGTGAAATATTCCGGAGGCCGGCGCTCCGAGATAATCCCAGCCATCCAACCCTGGAGACTTGACCCGTAGGCTAGTGTTGAATACATCAGAGCTTCATCGGTGACACATCGTCTCAGGCGCTCGTTGATAATGTCATGATGCCTCATGTGTTCAATATCGGTGGATTTGGATGCTGGGGCGAACGCTTCGACCAAAAAAGCCAACTTTGCTCCTTTGCCAAACACCAACTTGAGCATGGTATGGTCTCCTGCGTCCAGGCCAGCAATTGTGCAGTGGAAAGGATCTGACCCATTGTTGGAGGGGAGAATACAGAGAGTGGCTGTTTGATTGTGCTTCTCACGCTTTCTGGAGGCGCTCTTCCTTCTGCGTCTTTGCTGAACATGGCTGAGAATCATTGACTTTTCACCACCCTCTGAGTTGCTCAAAGACACTGAAGCCGCCACTTTATTAATGAACATGAGAGAAGGCTTGTTCTGGCCCACAGCGCCCCCGGTAGTCACCCGCCAATGGAGTCGCCTTTCCATGTTGTATTGTATGCCAACTCCCACAGCGATTTGCTCGTTCGTTCGGGCTGGCACGGTACGAATGCGATCAGACGGACCGTTCGCTCAGGTCTCCCCGGTCCCGGCTCGCTGCTGTTTACCCTGTTCGGCCGACTCTTGGACGATAACGGTAACCGATTCACCCGATCAGACTCATCGACATGGGCGAGAAGCAGGCGCAAGTGATGGAGAGCGGAACATGACGTCGGCAGAAAATTCACGGGCAGAAGATGCACTGCCCCAGTTGACCACCGCCACGTCCCAAATGGTGACACGCTACTGCTTTGGGAAGTGTGTCCAATTTCATGTCAGCGTGGCCTTTGCCGATGGCGCCAAGCCCAGGCGGCCGCCTCTACAGCCGAAAAGTTGAACGTGAGATTTCCTAATCGAGTAGTCGAAGCTGGGGTAGTCGGAGCTGTGCATTGGAAGCCCATCACGAAGAGATTTTGTATATAAGTCTGCTTGACTTCTATCTGTTTTCGCAATTCTCATCAGCATCAATTCTCGTGCCTCAATCTCCAAGTACACTCAGGAATCTCTCCAGCAAGATGCATCTCAACAGCCTTATCCCTATATCTATGCTACTGGCATCTGTTTCATATGCTTCGCCTACAAGAACTCCAAAGCTTCCAGTGGTTGATCTTGGCTATGTGAGCTCTCTGGAAGATATTCTCGAGTCTAGGTATACTAACAGTCGTAGGAACGTCATGCAGCTATGTCATACAACTCCTCCACAGGAGTCTACCAATTTTCGAACATTCGTTATGCCCAGACTCCTGTTGGAGACCTGCGTTTCAGGGCCCCTCAACCTCCACTGACGAACCGCCACGAGATTCAAAATGGTTCACAGCCGAGAACCTGCCCCCAGGGAGTTCCTGATTGGCAAGCCAAAGCATACGGGCCAATTGGTGCCTTCACCAGCGGCGGGAAGCCATTTACTCTTGAAGCCTGGGAACAGGCGATCCGAAACTCGTCCGTGCCCCCGATCGATTTCAACAAGGGCACTACAGAAGATTGTCTTGTTCTCGACGTCCATGTCCCTAAGAAAATCTTCAAGAGCAAATGTGGTGCTCCTGTGCTTGTCTGGGTTTGTGAATCCTGGTCTGAGAAAACTGTTGTTCAAGCTGTTCTAACTTGACATTAGATTCATGGCGGAGGATACGCATTTGGTTCCAAAAACGGCTATCCAAACCCAGGCTTCGTCCCTTCCGGGCTTCTTGAGCATGCCAAAGAATTCAGCGACAGGGGCATGATATTTGTTGGTCTCAACTATCGACTTGGCGCTCTGGGCTTCCTTTCTGGGCAAGAGGTTCAGAAAGATGGAGACCAGAATGCAGGTCTACTCGACCAGCGTCTTGCTTTGCAATGGGTGCAAGATAACATCCATCTCTTTGGTGGCTCAAGGGACAAAGTCACCGTCATGGGTGAATCCGCCGGCGGAGGCTCTGTCCTTCTTCATATGACAGGCCCCCCCAACAGCACAAACATCAAAGCCCCGTTCGCACAGGCCATTATCCAGTCTCCAGCTCTGGTTTCAAACCTTGAAGTTCCAGAATCTGGATATGCCGGCTTCCTTTCTAAGCTCAATGTCTCATCCTTGGCAGATGCGCGTAAGCTATCATCGGAGGCCATCATCCGCGGCAACGCGGCTCATCTCGCATCTGCACCGGACACGACCTCCATACACGGCCCGGTAGTAGATTCTAAGACGGCACCCGATACCCTCTACCGATCATTCAAAAATGGCGCTTTTGATAAGTCTGTCCGGTTGTTGACTGCCCATAACAGCTTCGAGGGAGGTTTCTTCTTTGACCCAACTGTAAAGACCGAGGAGCAGCTTGATTCCTGGATACAGAAATCACTTCCTGGATTCACCAAGAATGACCGAGAGCACCTGGCTAAAGATCTCTATCCTTTCAACGCTAGCCTGGGAGATGTTGCCCAAGGCTCTCGCCAAAGGGCCATCTGGGGTGACGCTCTCATTGACTGCACGTTTCTTACCGCCCATGAAGCTTTTGGAGGAAACAGCTACGCCTGTAAGTAAATTCAAGACCTTGATAAGAAGGTGACCTAACATTTGCTGCTAGACTTGTTTGATGTTTCGCCAGGAATCCACATTCAAGACTTGAAGTATACCTTCAACGACCCTACCAGCCCAGCTCCTCGACCGATTGCGCAAGATATTTTACAGAGAGCTATTGCTAGCTTTACGATAAAGGGAGAGCCAGTAACGAAATCGAACGGAACCTATGAGGCCTTCCCCACTTGGGGGAGTGGAAAATCACTGGTCAGGATTAACGGGGATGGCTTCTCGGTCGGTACAAATGTGGTCAACGAGACTCGCTGCGCGTGGTGGCAGTCAGGCTACGAGTTGGCACAGTAAGACAAGACGATGCCTGAGAGGTTGTCCTCTGAAATCGATACGGTGCAGTTAGCGCCACACATTTCACAGAGTTGAGTTTGACTTTGGTGGTAGGGGGCGGTGATGGACGATAAACGAGGAGATTGCTATGTTTCTTTCTATGCACACTCTTTTCAAGTATGGAGGTATCTGGTTGCGGGATAATAATGGTCATATAGAAGAGTAATAATTTGAATTTTCTGTCCTGCAAACACCACTGTCTAACATCCAGACACTTCACAACCCTTATTAGCTATTCATCTCATTTCTTTCCTCAATTCATACATCTGATGTTATCCGATTCTACAGATCTTGGAATGAGTCGTGGTGGTTAGCTGGAACCATTCCAGGCGTTTCGTAAATTCGACCTTGACCCGTTCTGCCTGGCAAGGGAAGTATCACATCTTCAGTGGTCCACATTTCGCGTTTTGGATGATTCCTGTTTCGGTGAGCTGAGACGTTGCAGCGTAGAGTAGCGTCGTACTGCATTGGATCTCGCATTTGCGCGATGGATGAGCTTAGCTCTTGGTCAAATTGAGTGTCGAGCCAGCCAAGAAATATGATTCCTTGCATAGCAGGGATAAGAAGTCATGGACCATATCCGCGTTGATTTGGATCTGCGATCTTATATGCGCATTCGTATGTTGATGCCACTGCCTATAATCATTCGGAGGAACGCGAGTCATACGAGTGTCCCGTGAGGTTTCAGCTATGAGCTTGTTAGACTGTTTGAGTGTGGGACATTAGTCTTCTGCAAGGATAGATTCACGCGGGAGATGCATCCCTTTTAGGGAATTCCTAAAAAATCACATAGGGCTGGTGGAGAGAAACGCCATTGAAGAGC